CGGGATAACTCTTTTGATTCATCCATGTATCCATTACTTCCTTTATTCTATAATGTTCGTGTGGGACATCAGATTCGTCTAAAGCAGTTTGCATGGCGTTCCACAAATCATCCGGAGTAGTTGATCCATATTCACTAAATAAAAGACAATTGTTAACATTATAGTCATATATCGGAAAATGATTAAATTCACTATTAATGAATCTACGTGAATATTAATGTACAATGTAATATATAAATACCATGCAATGCAAAAATTTAGAATATAACTCAAAATTAATTTAAGTTAAATTATAATTATTAAAAAGTAAAGTGTGTTTGGTTTATAATTAAACAGTAATGCGGTATCTCAAGTGTATGTCTAATTTTATGTTTCTGATGAAATAGTATACTTTTCTTCGTAAATACAAAAGATATTATTACATTTATGATACTTAGTACTATGATATATAATAAACATTTGTTACACATACTTACTGCGTGGCTAAATATATGATAAGACCCTTCCGAAATACCTCATCAGTAATAGTATGTTGTAACATGCGCAATATAACTGATGCTACAATAGTGCATCAAATATTAATGATGCAGTTAAACTACATATAAAATTAAAATATACAATGTAATACACTTATGCAACAGAAAGTTTCAAAATTTGCGCCAGCGAAATAAATGATGTGATACTTTGTGCTAAAACAAACTTCGCAGACGTGAATTTTGCAACATCCTATATATATTGTTCAAAAGAAGAATTTGTTTAGTTTTCTATTTTATGTTTTTCTTTGTACTGTATACATTAAGAAATCTATGATAGATAACAGTTTAATTATATTTACATAATCTTACCCTTATGATAAACTACAAAAGATTGCAGGTCCAGTCTTTCAAAGGTATTATTAAGTTTCAATGTGACAGGACCCAATACGCCTTTATCTATCATCAAGCCGTAGCGTAATTTGTCAACTACAAAATAATCTATTATCCGCCAATCATAAAAAATCTAAAGAAAAAATAATATGTGGTGTGACTGAATATTAAAAATTCCGAATTAGAAATAAAAAACCAATTTGTTTGTCACTTCCTATTTTAAAACATCGCAATTTTACTTTTTATGATGCCTACATTCAATTAAGTCTTTCATGTCGAATTCTTTAAGAGGAGTCATATCTAGTTTATTATTATTAAATATATTGGAGATTACTTAAAATTGTTCAATATTAAAATATAATTCTAAATTAAAGCACATGCTATGCTTTTATTTAATTGTATATTATACTTAATATATTTGATGAAAACGCCTTATTTAATATTGATATCACATTTTAATTTTATATTAAAATGTAATTAAAAGTTTTTCCAATAAGCAACTTTGCATTATATAAATTCCTTATTAATTTAATTCGTAATATTATCACAGTAGTTTTATTTCGTTTATAAGTTCGGAAAACCAATCTGGTGCACAGTTCGGATAACTACAAATATTGTATATATGCATGTACATATATAACATACATATATATAATTCACATTGAATTATTTAAGCATTAAAAATCTAGCTTTAACCGATACAAACTTCTAATTTATAGATTGTGTTATTTTATTGTATTTAATACTGGCATTTTAATCTTAAATTAAAGTGTATCTCAAAGTTTTTTCATTAATAAATAACTTTGGCTTATATAGTAATATTAAATAACCTTATCGATGATGTACGTGTAAAAGAACGATGCAAGTCCCTCTTTTAACCAATAGTAAGACCACCAAGACGGTGTGACCAAATTACCAAACCATTGATGTACAATTTCATGTGTTACTATCGCTGCTATTTGCGCTTTTTTATATGTTGGATATTTGCTAGCATCGTAAATAACTGATGATTCACTGAAAGACAGAACGTAATATAAAACGTTTCTATTGTGAATATGCAATCTAATGTAATATATTCTTGAGTAATTATGTTATTTGTCAATAATTCAGATGTGTGAATTGTTTTTATACATATATAATTTTTTTAAACAATATAAATATTCTCTTATGTACATAAGTATAAAAAAAGGAGGAACCATCTCTAGTGGCCATGACTTTGACAAATGAAATTATCAGGATCGTGATCTTGAACAATATTCAAAATGTTTTAGTTGTCAGTTGAATATCTTTCATTATCTTAATAATGGCAATTTTTATTAAATCTTATTTTATAAATCTTATATAATTTAGAAAATATTTAATAAATAATAATCTTTTTTTATATATATTGTTTTGAAAAGCTCTCAAAATAAATTACAAGAGTTGTAGCAAAAAATGGTGGATTTTATATAAGAAAATATTGATCACATTGACTTGGCTTTGAATAGGCTCTTCCAATGCTCAATTTCTTCACTTTCAAATAAGTTGCGGATAACCTTATTCAAAACATATCTCCATTGTAATTTAAAAGATATTTCTTGTATAAAGTTATCTATAAGTGAAGAAATTGGGCATAAATCTATGTTTTCATGTATTTTCTTAATATACTAAAACTTTTATTTTTCTAAAGCCATTTCCGAGATCCAGGAATTTGTCAAACTTTAGCAATATTCTGCATATACATACGTACATATACGTAATTGCATTAAATAAAAGAGGAATCCGTAATATATATATTAAACACATTAACTATGTTAGATAATCTAAACATGAAAATATACATTTTTTTATATATAATTAAATACACACACATTATAAATTACTAAATTTTGAATACTAAGAATAATATTTGCTGACTTTAATAGTTTAATTAATTTCTTTTTAATTATGTATATATTACTTGTAAGTGATGAGCCCCCAGTGTTCCATGCCATCAATCGGAAAATTTGGTATGATGAAATGATCCATTTTTGGTATCTTTTCAGAACTATTTGTGTATTGGATCAAGAATGGCGTGACCATTTCAGTAATATTAAACGCAAATGTTATTTGCGATAACAAAGACGATCTGCACCACACATTGATGGTTTCTTTCTCGTTGGAAAGATGGTGAAAATCAGTTATGGGGAATATGATAATCTCTACAAGGTAAGTAGACATTATTGGAGTAATGTTGAAGTACGTACATATCATACTTTTGTTTAAATATTTCTTGTGTACTGGAGGCATATTTGATAATGCCAGATATTCCACATGATGCATTACAGAAATATTAAAGATGGCTTTTATCGCGGGTTCGTCCCAACACGGAAATATTTGTCTAGCTCCTTTCGGCTCCGAATACGTTGCAACCATCCTATAATTTAATAAAATATTTTAAGTAAATTTTCCATTTATGTTGGATAATATAAAAATTTTAAGAACATTCATTATTAATATTGTTATATAATAATATAATAATAATTTCTTTGAAGAGAAAAATTGATACGTAATATTTTTTGTTTTGAATATTATAGCTACTACATATTACAATACACATATAATATATACATTCTAATATTAATTATTACTTATTATATACATTGTAATTATATATACATACTGAACAACTTTTTTAAGTATAATTGCGGAAATATGTTTAGTAACATGTTATCAAGTATTTTTGATATTCTACAACTAGTTTATACTTTTTAATATTTTAACGTTTTACACTTACACATTTTCTGTTGTATACCAAAATATCATAAAACCACTTTCGAAATAATTATTGTCTCGTATAATACCGGCAAATTTCATGTTAAGAGTGTAAAAGGCGGGTGACAATGCATCTTTGAAATTGAGTGTCAAGATATCCGTTTGATTGTCATGGGAATGTTTTATTGGTTTATAAACTGTACCGTAGTCATTAATCAACGTTGTCGCTATTTCATTTAATTCTAATTCTTTTGAATGCAAGCTTATGTTTAACGATGCATAACAAATCTCAATTCTAATATTGGATT